AGTAATCCTGCAATGAAAGTGGCTCTATTTGCTACATTTCTACTGGTATATCTCATCATCGTTATTACAAATCTCGGAATGGTCACTTTAATCCATATGGACTCCCACTTTCACACACCTATGTATGTTTTCCTCAGCCATCTCTCTTTTTGTGATCTCTGCTATTCCACAGCTATAGGGCCCAAGATGCTGGTGGACCTGCTCACCAAGAATAAACCAATTCCCTTTGTTGGCTGTGCTCTGCAGTTCTTCATCTTCTGCATCTTTGCTGATGCAGAGTGCCTACTGTTGGCAGTGATGGCTTTTGACCGGTACAAGGCCATCAGTAACCCCCTGCTCTATGCTGTGGACATGTCCAGCAAGGTGTGTTCACAGCTCCTGGCTGCAGTTTACTTGGTGGGAATAACAGATGCTTTGATACATACTTCACTGACATTCCGATTATGTTTCTGTGGGTCCAATGAGATCAATCATTTCTTCTGTGATGTGCCTCCTCTCCTGCTGATCTCTTGCTCTGACACACGCATCAATGAATTAGCAATCTTCACAATTTTTGGTTTCATTGAACTGAGCACCATCTCAGGAGTCCTCATCTCTTACTGTTACATCATCTTATCAGTGATCAAGATCCGCTCTGCTGAGGGCAGGTTCAAAGCTTTCTCCACCTGCACCTCACACATAACTGCTGTGGCCATTTTCCAGGGGACCATGCTGTTCATGTATTTCCGGCCGAGTTCTTCCTATTCCCTGGACCAAGACAAAATGACGTCTCTGTTTTACACCCTTGTGATTCCCATGCTGAATCCCCTCATATATAGCCTAAGGAACAAGGATGTGAAACAGGCTCTTGAAAAACTAAAGAATAAAATCTAAATCATTGTGTTACTGGTACTCATTCTTCTAGTAGTTGTTGTTTTTTAAAATTATTTAGCACAACTTATAAGAAATAATTGCACCTTGTTGTTTGATTTAATGAGTATTTTTACTAGTCAAATTACAAGAAAATATTTCTGATCTTCAAATGTGTCATGCCACATTATGTTTTATTAATATATGTTAGTCCTTCAATATGCAAATTTTTCCTGATCTACATTGATCCAAATTTTTATTTATTCTTTCATTTAATTTCAGTCATGATAAAATTTGGTGAATGTTTTTGGATTCATTGATTTAATTGATAAATTCAGTGATCAATTTCTTAATGAAATTTTTGTTATAGTGAAAAATCATAGGCTTTAAGTGACTACTTACATACTTCAAAATGAGCCTCAAAACACTACTGAAACACAAAGACTGCAGCATATTTACCAGGTCACAACATCCAACTCCAGCATGCTAAAGAAAGGCTGTTTGGGATAGAGTGTGAATTTTCAGAACCAAGAGACACATATTTGAGAGAGGAATGTACTTTAGTCAGATGTGTGACAAGTATCAAATTCTCGAAGTAGATAGGTTCCTATATATAAAGCAAATCGGGTTAAGAATTTAAAAGATTCTGATAAACTACTGCTGTTTGATGAAATGCTTAACCATTCTTCCAGGAAAGTGTCTTTCTCTCTCCAGGTGTTCAGTTCTGGTGAAATAGTCTTATTATTTTCAGTCATCCAGTTAAATTGTTATTTAAAATGTTAGCATTTGCTTCACATCAGTAACTCCAGTAAGAAAATTATGTTTTCTTTCATTTTCTTTTCATAAATTTCAACGCTAAGACAAGCCACTGGTATAATATCTGGACCAAAAGTAGTAAAAAATAATAAAATAATAAGACAAAATGTAATAAGACAAAATATAAATATTTTTATTGTTTTTAGGTGCTAGTAAACACAAACTGCGGGTATGGTATGCTCTACATGCACACAAACACATATACACTTATTCACACACACACATGCTCATCCATACATTAGCACTACTAACAGAGTAGATAGCATGGACATTCATTAATAAATCATCAAAGAAATAGATATCAATTTTATTAAAATTAAAGAGTACACGTGTGTGTGTGTGTGTGTTTAATGTTTGCCTCTTTCAATGATTTCTGCTTGGATTTTTCTGGTGGCTTAAGAAATAGCTCTGCTTCTTGAGAAACAGCCAGGTCATATGCATTACAATTAAAGAAACTGAAAGCCCATGTGTTATCTTTGGGCATCCGGCTATCAGTGTCAAATATCCCTCTTCCACAATACTTTGAATACAAGTAAAATCCAAGAAACACTGCTTTCATGGGTCATGAGCTCATATCAGAAGAAGGCATCCAGTGGAAAACATCTATGAACCATTATTGTCTTTGATAAAAGACTCTGTGACATTCTGATTAAACACTTTCTTTTCAATCCATGCCTAATCTTTCTAAATTGTACCTCAGGGAAACTACTATGGCATATTGTGCCATACATTGAGATCTGAACCTTCAACATGATGGTAATTTAGGATGAAGATGACAAATTCACAGAAACAGAGCCTTTGAGGGTGGAATTGCTGACCATGTGACACAGGCCAAGAGCTCTCCCCTGCTCTATCTGTTATGTATGGACTAAATATCAGGGGCCCTGTGAAAAGGAATTTAGTCTCCCACCAGATACTGAATCTGTCATCACTGGGATTTGGGATTGTAGTCTCTAGAGCTGTGAAAAATATTTATTTATTTTCCTGATGCTGTTGCTTACAATCCAACTGGTCTATAGCATTCTGTTATACCAGCTCAGATAGACTAAGACAAAGAGCATGACAGAAATCATTGTTTGAAACATGTTCATGTAGAAACAAGATGGCACTGGATTGTCCATAATTAAAGGTGAACAAGTTTCCTACCCAAATAACTCATTTCCCACTCATATGTTCACTTTCAAGATGGCATTTAATAACTTATTTGCCCATTCATTAATTGTACTCTTTGCTCTTTGGGGGCATATATTAGAAGGAACATAAATCAACACACACTAGATATTCCAGTATACTCATATTTCTTACAACTATATTAATATTAGGCTAGATATAGAATCAGCCTAGTTATCAATCATTTGATCATAGAATGTATAAGTCAATCTTCTTGTTTTCTTGCCCCATCTGTATTATTTATATCTTCTCCATATAAACCAATTACTTGATGGCAATTATTATTACTCAAAAACTATATACTATAAATGACTTTAAAACCAAAGTTAATATGCAATGAGCTTACATAATTTAATTCAGTCCACCATTTTTGTTAATGTTTTATTTAAATATATGATTGAAAGAGATATCATGTTTCTGTTCATACACAGTCTTTTTCAACTTAATTTTTATATGAAAGAGAGACTTTCATGCAGAATATGTTTAAGACTTTCCAAATAATATTCTACCTCAAAAATTATGATTCTTTTCAGGCACTGGTGTCTCATGCCTGTAATCCTAATTAGTCGGAGGCTGAGATCTGAGGATCATGGTTCAAAGCCAGCCTGGCAGGAAAGTCTGTGAGACTCTAGTCCTCAATTAAGCACCAGAAAACTGGAAGTGGAGCTGTGGCTCAAACTGGTAGAGTATTAGCCTTGAGCAAAAAGAGCTCAGAGACAGCTCCAAGGTTCTGAGCTCAAGCTTCAAGACCACCACCACCAACAACAATCACACACACACACACACGCACGCACACACACACACACACACACGAGTCAAATTTATACAAAAACATTGAAGCACATCTAGATTTTTTATCTAAGTAGTAGTTTACTTCACTTAATATAATTTTTTCCTGTGGCCCATGTAATTGTAACCCCTCTGTACGGTATTTTCACAATAAATAAAAGAAGTAGCAGTATTGCAAGGTTTGTAAGCTGCACAACATTAACTAATTAAAATTTCAGCATTTGACAAAATTATTGCAGTATTCTCAAAGGAGAATTCTGAGCCAGAAATCTAATTACTCATAGTTGAATAACACAAAACAGTGAAGGCAGAGGGTTTTAGAAAGTAAATCTCAAGAGTCACTAGAAGAAAATTTTTTAATGTGATATGTATGTATATATATATATGTATATTTGTGCAAGGCAAAAACAAGAAAACAGAAAAGCCAACCAAAAAAAGGCAGATAACTAAAAGCCAAGGAAACAAACCAAAAGAAAAATAAAAAAATGAGTAGAAAAATCAGAAAACAGATACTAACAAATGTATAACAGAATGACTTTGCAGCCACGTATGAACCTAAACACACGGCATAACACCGGCCATCACGGTATCTGATGACAACAGAATGAATGGAAGGCAAGGGAAAAAACACGGTCAGTAAAGAGGAACATAAGAACACACAGAGAAAAAATAAAAAAAACAAGACGTTATACCAAAAAAAAAAAATACAAAAAAGAAACAAAGGGGGGGGAGGGAAAAGGAAAGAATGAGCACTAAGAAAGACGGGAAGGCAGGGAAAAAGGAAACAAAAAAGCAAAAAACAATACACAACAAAAAAGCCACGGATCAACCCGCACAGGGAAAGAAAAAACCACCAAAAAATACAGTCAAAAAAAATAAAAGCAACAAAACAAGAATAAACAAACACAAATCCAAAAAAAAGTAATAAAATAACATCAAATATTAAAAGATATCTAATATTAAACCAATGGGCAAAATCCAAAAAGAGAGATGACTACAGTAATAAAAAAAATACTCTTAACAAAAGAAAAACAGGGGTAACACATACAAAAGCAGGCCACTGAAACCATGGCATGTCTAACACATCACCCCGAACCTCAAGCAACAACTAGTTCACAAAAACAAAAAGCTCAAAACCAAAGAGAAAGAGAACAACAACAAAAGGCAGAAATGTAAATATCAAGATTTAAAAGCAAAGCACAGTAACATAGATCGCAAACATTGAAGAGTGACACGCCCAGGTCATACTCCAAAAAAAAATAAAACAAAAAACAAAAGTAATCCCCCAAAACAACACCAGAATACGCAAAAACAAATCCCTAACCCACCACTCTCCTGATGATCATCCGGAAAAGCGTTGAAAAGAACAAAGGAGAATGGACACTGGAAATTGTTCCTCAACAACTGAATTCCTTCTCATGGGAATTACCAATAACCCTGAAACCAAAGCGGTTCTATTCGCCACATTTCTAAATGTATACCTCACCAATCTCATGGCAAACCTTGGAATGATCACCTTAATCAGGATGGACTCCCAGCTTCACACACCTATGTACATTTTCCTCAGTCACCTCTCTTTCTCTGACCTCTGCTATTCCACAGCCATAGGGCCCAAGATGCTGGTCAACCTACTCAGCAAGAATAAATCAATTCCCTTTGCAGGCTGTGTCCTACAACTATTCATCTTCTACATCTTTACAGATGCAGAGTGCATGCTGCTGGCAGTGATGGCTTTTGACCGGTACAAGGCCATCAGTAACCCCCTGCTCTATGCCGTGGACATGTCCAGCAAGGTGCGCTCCCAGCTCCTGGCTGCGGTTTACCTGGTGGGAATAACAGATGCTTTGGTGCATACTACATTGACATTCCGCTTATGTTTCTGTGGGTCCAATGAGATCAATCATTTCTTCTGTGATATCCCTCCACTCCTATTAATATCATGCTCTGATATACAAGTCAACGAGTTAGCAATATTCTTTGTCTTTGGTTTCATTGAACTGAGCACCATCTCAGGAGTCCTCATCTCTTACTGTTACATCATCTCATCAGTGATCAAGATCCGCTCTTCTGAGGGAAGGTTCAAAGCTTTCTCCACCTGTGCCTCACACTTAACCGCAGTGGCCATTTTCCAGGGAACAATACTCTTCATGTATTTCCGGCCGAGTTCTTCCTACTCCCTGGATCAAGACAAAATGACCTCTCTGTTTTATGCCCTTGTGATTCCCATGCTGAACCCTCTCATATATAGCCTAAGGAACAAGGAGGTGAAAGCAGGCATTAAAAAACTGAAGAAAAAGATCTTACTTTAGGGAAATCTTTGCATACTGTAAGTCCACACATATTTAAATGTACACATATTTTGTTGCCTTCAAATACATATTTCAATGTTCTTATCTGACATACCTTAATTTAATACATTACATACTTTGTTAATCTATAGCATGTAGTTTGTATTTTCTTAAATTTTTGACCTCTATATGTCTTCACTGAAATTGTTTTGTGATATTTACTATAATATTTGATATTATAAATTTTAAATAAACTATACAATACCATGAAGCCAAAAGACAAGGTGATCATGGAACATACAAAATGCCTAAATCTACCCCAAAAAAAGGGATTCTTGGATATGACCCATCTAATCATTCAGTGAGCATATATACAATGGAAAGGAGGTGAGGGGAAAATATTTCTTTTTTAATTTTTATTTTTTATTGTGAAAATACTGTACAGAGGGGTTACAATTACATGGGCAAGATAATGAATACATTTCTTACAAGCATTGTAGCCTCCTCCTTTGTTTCCCCTTCCCATCCCTTCCCATTCTCCCCCCCCCAAATCCTCCCCACTACAACCCCCCTCTCCCCCGCACCAAAGTTGTAAAGTTAATTTTTTGACATAATGACTTGTACATCTCATTGTTGTAATGGGTCCACCGAGGGGAAAATATTTCTAAGACTATAAGCTAAGAATAAGCCTGAGTTGAATACACAAAAGCACATAATAAAAGCAAAGTGGTTTTGATTTTACTATCTGTGATGTTTAGTAAGCTTGTATATTTTCTTCATGATTTTTTTTCAAAATTTACTTTGTTGTATATCTACTTAAATATTTTCCACTTTTTATTCAAATAGTGTTTTGTTCACTGTTTTGTTAATTAGTCCATAGTTAAGACAAATCATAGAAAAAAAATTCAGATATTTTTTCCACTCAAGTATGTTGAAAAATACTCTATAATATTACATGTCATATCTCAATGTAAGCAGAGATTTATTTTCTTGTGTGTATAAGGGTTTCATTTTTATATTTCCAAATATTCACAAAGTATAGTTTGATCAACCTCACCTCTATTATTTTCTTCTTCTTTGTCTTCACCTTTTTATATTTAAAATCTAAAGAGCTTCTTTATGCTATTTTCATTCATGTGTATGATATGCATTAATCATATTCACTCCATTACTCAAATTCTAAATATGTGAATAAGCAAATATAGCATTCTCTCTGAAATGAATATTACATAATTTTCCATTAATCTCAGTTGCACATTTTACCCCAGAAACGTATCTGTTTGTATTAACTACTTTTTTAATAATTGCATGTGTAGACCTCAGAGAAATTCAAATTTATGTTGACATTCTCCACTCCGTCATGTCATTTCGATTTAGCCACTCTTCCCTACTTCCTTTTCTCAACTCTGTTTAAATGCCCATCTTTGTGAATCATAAATAATACTCTGTAGATGGCATCACTCTATACAGCTCTGTGCTTTATTAAAGCATCAGTCCTAATATGATACTTGGGACACTAATCATACAGGGTGGGTTTTATACAAGTGGGTTTTATTCCTGTCTTCTTATTACCTGCATTACCACTAAGGCACAAAATGGATTAATATAGAAATGCCAAAACCCATGTATATGCTACTTGGTTATATATCAAATTGTGATTAACTACCAATGATTATATGCACTGTTAATATATATATATATATATATATATATATATATATATATTGTAGCTTAAGTATACAAATAAAATGGTTGTGAGCGTTAAGGTTATAAATGAGGGATTTCACCATACTCTGAAATTCTTGACTTTTATTACAATTGAACCAACAGAACACTGTCCAAGCAAATGGATAGTTGCTACTAAATATGTGCTTGTGTGAACACATTTCAGGCTAGAGATGGAGTCCATAGGCTTCTTTGCTTTCCAGAGAAGCATTTGTTGGGCACTGTCACAAGGTGGCCTAGTAAAGCAGAGTGATAGAATAGATTCTGTGGGAAAGAAGAGTTCTTTGGGAATCCTAGCTTTAGGGCTCCTGTTTCTGTGTGCAGTCAATGTACCCACACTCTTCTATTAATTATGAGCAGAGATCTGAAAGAAAGCATTATTTGAAATAGTATAAAGCTTCAGATCAATGTAAGGGTTCTCAGGATTACTTATAATTGTGAAGATGATAAACATGATATCTCCCTTTCATGTGACATATCAAACACATATCATGGAAAGTTGATTTTGATGTACCTCTTGTTCTTTTCATCATACTCATTAAGTATGAATTAAAAAGGTAAACTAAGAGAAGGCTAATAACAATCAATTGTTTTTAAGTGCAATTACAATCAAGTATTATAAGTGAAAATATGTATATCTAAAATTTGCATTTGTTAAACAAACCAACAAAAACTAATATAAAGAATATTTCTTAGATGATTCATGACTAAAAGTTAGAATTTGGAAAGATACTCCAAACTAACCTTTGCATCCTGGGATCGTTTTATTTGATTTTTATTTTATTGTCAAGATGATATAACGAGGGTTTACAGTCACACAATTCAGGTTGTGAGTACATTTCCTTTTAGACAGTGTCAATCCTTCCCTCACTTTCTCCCAGATTTTCCCTCCTGAATCCCCCTCCACCAGTTGTAGAGTTCATTTTTAATGTAGTGTCTAGTGATCACCACTGGTGCATTTGTTCAGCTTTGGTCACACTATTCTGTACTCGTCCTTATCCACCCCTAAAAAGATAAACTTACATACAAAACAACAGTTTTCAGAGGCAAGAAGAACATGTATAACAAGTACTGCCCCATTCTAACTTGTCATCTTCAACAGCCACCAACTTTTTTTTATTGTGAAAATACCGTACAGAGGAGTTACAATTACATGGGCATGATAATGAGTACATTTCTTATCAAGCATTGTAGCTCCTCCTTTGTTTCTCCTTCCCAACCCTTCTCATCTATCCCCCTCCCCCTTCTCCTTTTCCCCCCTCTTCCGCCCCTGCCCCCGCTAAAGTTGTAAAGTTTGTTTTTCAACATAACATCTTGTACATCTCATTGTTGCAATGGGTCCACCTGTATCCCTATTTAAATGGTTTGCTTTTTTCCCTTCCTCTCCACAAATTATACCAACTTCAAATACAGTGAAAACAAGGGTTATAACATGGAGGGACACACAAAGCAACAAAGAAATCATTTTATAAATATGTTAGAAACAATAGCAAGAAAGAAAAACATTTGAGTCCTTGTCTTGGGGTTCATTTTGCCTAACATCAACTTATAAAACTTTGTTGCCATTGTTCATTTATTTGACAGTAGCTATTCTGAATAGGATTAAGTGGAAACACAATATAGTTTTTATTTGTAATTTTCTTATGGCTAAGGATGTTGAGCAATTTTCCATCTATTTATTGGCTATTTGTACTTTTTCCTTAGAAATGTTCTTGTCATTCCCATTGTAAATTTATTGACTAGAGAGATTGTTTTCTTGTTGTGCAAATTTTTTAGTTTGTTATGTATTATTTATAGTAATCTCTAATTGGATGAATATCTGGCAAAATTTTTTTCCCAGTCTTTAGGCAGTGTCTTTATACTTTTTTCTTATTCAGAAAATATTTCAACGTGATGCAATCTCATTTGGCAATCTTTCCTCTTACTTCCAAGCAATTAGGACCCTAGTTAGGAATTGATTAGCTATGCATGTAATTTGAAGTTTCCTCCTATGTTTTTCTCTTGTAGTTTCAAACATTCAGAGCAAATATTATGATAGCTTATATGTTGACATAATTTATGTGTAGGGAGAGATAAAGGGATCTAGTTTCAGTGATGTCAATTTTACCAATATCATATGTTGAAGAGGTTCTTTTCTCCAAAGATTGTTTTTAGTAAATTTTAGAGCATCAAATATATATTCATAATGTCAGAGCGAGATGAGCATTAAAGTTGCACCCAGAAATGAGATGAAAGTTAATGTGCTATAAGCATTATCTTTACCCAAACCCATGACTGATGTCCAATCAAGAAAAGTGAGACAAAAAATATCACATTGAACCACAAATATGCAAGAAGATGGTACCAAGACCAATTCTGACTAAAAGAGATACACACAGTGTGCACTTACATGGTCTGCAAGTGCCAGTACACAATGGGTCACAATGTCATTACACGGAGCATTCTGGGAAGCACCTCTAATTCAAGCTACACAGGAGACAATGCTTCTTTGTCAGTGTCACCCTTTCTATCCTCTTCTGTTTCTTCTCTTCCCTCCTTCCCCTCAAGTAACAGAGTTCATTTTTTTACATAAAAATTTTCATGGTAATATATTAATGAGTTTTTGTAATGACAAAAACAAATTCAATTTTCTTCTAATTTTCTAGAGAGTCAAGAGGATAGTAACTGGCAAACATGGTCCAATTTTCTACTCTGTGTTTCCATCCCCTCTCCCCCCTCCACTTTTGTATCTCTTCTGATCAATTCATATTCATAATCAATTCATCTTTCCTTTACAGAAGGTAGTTGAAATAAACTTGGAACAGTCTCCAGACTCTGAGAGGCCTTCCAGTTTTATAGTCTTTCTAAAGCTTAAAAGCTTCTGTAACTCAAATCACAAACCTCAAAAGCTAGACCACTTGCCCAAAGCTTGAGTTGCTACCAAACCAATGATCAATGAGTCAAATATGAATCCTCATAATCACCTGACCTATTATTTGATAACACACACAGAAATAAGTTTATATTTCCCAGGAAATAAGGAATAAATATATGTTTCAATATTTGAATATGTATTTGAATATTTGTACATCCCCTTTTTGGTGGTACTGGGTTTGAGTCTAGAGCCTCATACTACTAAGCAGCCAATCTACCACTTGATTCACGTTCCTAGACTTTTTGGGATGCTAGGTACTTTTCACAGATCACTGTTTTGACTTCTGTCAAGGGTAGGCCACAGATTGTGTTCTTCCTATCCACAGCCTTCCACATCTCCGGGCCCTAGGTGTGCATCACCATGCACAGATTGTTGATTGAGG